CATGTGGCCGCTCCTTCCTCTTCTGCAGAGAAATCCTCACTTGCAACCTTGGTCTCCACATCTGCCAATCCGCATAGTCATCGCCTCCACTGTGAGGTCCTTCACATAGCCTTTCTAGGCCTCCTTCCTGATGCGTGAACATAATAGCTCCTTGACTGCCTCTAAAAAAGCATCCAGGGTCTTTCACACCCCTGGGGTGCAGAGAAGATACACACATGGAGTTCTCTGAGTGGCCTTGGATCAACCCAATTCCCCTGCTTTCTCGCCTGTAGTTCTCAGGAATAACTGATGAACAGGCTGGGAATGTAACAGTTTGAGATAGGGGGAGCTGGGACAACTGTTCTAGATCCCGCCCCCTCCCCCCCAAATCAGGGTGTCCTTCAATGCTTTATTGCAGCAATTCTGGTTACTTCAGGGTATAAAACCAGGGAAGGCTGCTTTTTGGGGTCCCTCAGCTGCAGTGCAAGTGGGGCACACGCAGTCAAGACTCCATCCATCACAGGCAGCTTTCCGGAGCCTTGGGAGACCGGCTCACAATGACCCCTAGGTTTCTGTTGTCCCTTCTTCTACCTACCTGTACCTAATAACTCCACCTTGTATAACTTGTATATGGATATTCCATCTCACTGGACTCAGACAAATTGGCAATCAGTGCATAATGAAAGTGCTTCCACCAAGATGAGCCATCGTGGGGAGCAGAGATATGATGGGACCCTGAAACTGTGCCTGGGGGGAGGCCCAGGGCTCTGCAGGGCTCTTAGCACAGCTTACAGATGGTGGTTAGATCCAGAAGCTGCTCGAGGAACTGTACAGTAACTCTCTCAGGGCCAAACCTTGCCAGAAACAACTGAGCAAGCCCGGAGTGTATATCTGGAGAGTGAAGCAGACCACTGCTACTGGATCATGAGCTGTCAAAGGAAGAATTAGGGATAAAGACTTCAGTTTGAATACACTTAAGTAAGGCCAACACAAAATACTATTAGTTTGTGCACTTTACAAAGGCACCATGTCTAAGTAGAGTCCATCTACATCATGGATATTTATTAACTTACATGAGTGTGCTTGAGTGGGCATGAATAACTCAGACCTTCTGATGAATTTGGAAGCTATTGCGGAAGTCTATTCCTATATAAACCCACTTTGGTATACATGAAAGTAATAAACTATCTTTGGTCTCTGACCCAGAAATCTCGTGTCCTCTCCCAGTACCCATGAAACTGTCAGTAGGCTAACTTGTTAGCTTAGATGTAGTGTAAAATCTCAGACCCTTCATGGTTCTTGACAGTTCCCTGGTCTGATGCGATGTTACAGGGGATCCCTTGCCAGTGAATCAGGGACTCTGAGCTTTCAGGATGGCAGCACTGGCTGAGACCCTTCAGGCAGGAGAGGCATGTGAGAGATCAAAACCTACATTTTTTGACTCATTATGTGTTTGGATCTATTTGGGATGTGATTGATAAAATACAGCTGTGTGATTGAATGGATAGATATTTCCTCAAGTGTGTGCATGCTACCTCCCATTTTCAAGATACGGTTCATTGTCTTCTGTACTGGTTATATCTTTGATATATAAGCCAGACGAATGATGAATACTGCACAAAACAAGAAAATGCAGCCATTTTCACTTATAAGTATCAATGAAAAAATTTACAACTATCAGAAACAAAATTCAACAACATATTAAGACATAATATGTCATGACCAAGAAAGTTCTTTCTGGTAATGGAAATATGGATTAATATTAGGGAATCTAACAATATAATTCATCATATTAATAAATGTAAGGAGTAAAATCATTTGATCATCTTCATAGATGCTGATAAGGCATCATTCACATAAAAACACTCAATGAAAAAGGGATTGATGGCCTATTCATTATCTTGTGCCACAATAATGCTGTACTACAAACTACCTCCAAACCCAGTGGCTCACTCACACATTTGTCACTCCTGTCTGTGGTTTGGATGGGTTTCAGCAGACCTAGGCTGGCTTCAGCTCAGCAGCTGTCGTCCTCACTGCTGTTCTGTGGTGTGTTAGTCAGAATTCTCCAGAGAAACAGAACCAGTGGCATCTATCTATCCAATCTATATCTCTAACATATCCATGTCTGTATTTGCACCTACATGTGTATCTATCAAGAGAGAAAGAGACAGAGACAAAGAGAGAAAGAGAGGAGACAAGGAGAGATGGAACCAGAAAAAGAGAGAGAGAGAGAGAAGAGATAAAAGATAAGAGCAAAAGGGGGAGATTTATTTTAAGGAATTGCTGACACAATTGTGGGGTCTGGCAAGTCCAAAATCCATAGGACAAGCTGCCAGGCTGGAAATTCTGGGGCAAGCTGATGTTGCAGCCTTGAGTCCAAATTCACTGGTCAAGCCAGGCAGCCTGGAAACTTAGGCAGGTTTTCTATGTTTCAGTCTTGAGGAAGAATTCCTTCTTCTTCGGGGAACTTCAGTCTTTACTCTTAACTCCTTTGACTGACTGGATGAGGCCCACCTGCATTATGCATTATGGAGTGTAATCTGCTTTACTCAAAGTCTACTGATTTAAATATTAGTTGCAGCTAAAAAAATACCTTCAGAGCAACATCTAGACTGGTATTTGACCAAAGAACTGGGCACCATAGCCCAGCCAAGTTGATATATAAAATTAACCATCACTTCACGTGTGTATTGGCCAGTGCAGCTCTGTTCCATGTCAACCATTCTCCTTCAGGCATCAGCAGACTAGTCAGGACACATTCCCATCTGAATAAATATGTGAAAAGGAAATAATGAGCTTTATATGATAAGTGCTAGCCCATGTGTGATTAAATATTTAAGAATTTTTACAGCATCTCAAAATCAAAGCCTTACCTTATTCATCTTTTACTATCGTTTTGGGTAAAGAGTATATGGGGTTGAAGGAGGGACTCCATACGTGATTTCAGATACTTTGGACCATGGCAATATTCTTTGCAGAGAGAGTTTATTTCCTTCTGTTTTACCCAGTCTGTCCGGAGCCCATGCTAGCTCCAGTGGGATTGTGGGAACTTGTGTTAGAGCTTTAGTTTCCTCCTCGTAGGATTACTGTGAGGATTAAATGAAGTAACATGTAAAGCAATTAAAACAGTACCCAGTATATGGTAAGTGCTGTTTAAAATGTTACTTATTATTTTTACAGTCACCATTCTTTTTTATTAGCCATGTGGGTTTGTTTTTTAGCTATTTAATTGTAACTGTGACTAATTTTTGTTCCCAAACCTCAGAGCTGGATAGTGTGTCCAAGACCATTAGTCCATGTGCTCCTCTCATATCCCAGCCTCCCTTGCAACTAGGTTGGGGCCAGGTGACTGGGTTCCAGTCAAAGGATGAGGTTTAAGAAACAAGACAATGACAGGGACTGTAAATTACACTCTTGGTAGATATACTATGCTTGAGACATTAGCGCAGAGAGGCCCTCCCTCCACAAAACAACAGACTATATTATTTGGCTTGCAGGAAGTGAGTGACAACACCATGTTGGCAAAAACTAAAAAAGTAGTCAAAAAAACACAACTTAAACTGAAATGGGAGCTGTGATCCATAAGCTCAAAGGGAAGGTTGGTAGCTCTAAGGGCAAATGAATATTTCAGCCTTAGTCTCTGGAGCCTAAATCTGGACTCAGCTGTAAAGCGAGTTGTAGATTGGGGGACTTCTGGATTAAGCCAGAGATCTCAGAAGGAGGCTTAAGTGGTCTTGGTTCAGTAGCACCAGCACCCCTGTCAGTTCCTGATAAAAATATATGCAAACCCTCTCTAGAGTAAAGCCATCTTGATCTCAGTACTCAGGATGTCCATATTCAAATTCACAAAGACTGTGAACATTCCTCTAGAAAAGAAATCACCAAAAGTGAGAGTCAGCAAACAAACAAACAAACAAAACAACCAACATCAGATTTACATTCTGTATCAGTCAGGTTAGGCCAGATTATGCTGCAGTAACAAACACTTCCAAAATTTTGGTGGCTGAATGCTAAATGGATCTCGTGCCTACTCAGTGAGCTGCAGGTCTCAGCAACCCTCAAGGGTCAGCCTTCAGAAAATGGCAACTGTTAGAATTCAAAATGGATGGTTAATTTCAGTTATGGGTGGAGTAATAATATTCTAATTATGTAGGCCATGGAAGGAATGGTAAAGACCAACACATGACTTCTAAGAATTATTCATATTAAGGCATTTATAGATTAATTTAAAGTAGAACATTGGAAGATATATACACTATGTAATAATTGTCGAAATCCATGGATATCAACTAGAATAGAACAAGAGAAAATTAGAACTACTATGTTAGATCAAGTGGGATTTTTGAGGGAATCTTAACATTTTAAAATCATATGATAACGATATCATCATCTATGCTCAAATGTTCTCAATTTCTTCCTTCAATGGCCTCCTTTTAATTAGGGTGGTCAGATCTGTTGGTAAAGTCCTAGAGAATGTGTTTTTGAGGATGTTGAGGTTTTTTTTCTCCCATTGTCCATGTCTAAAATACCCTTCTCCCCATACAAGAGCTCTTTTTAATCCTACATTTTAGACATTCTTTTGCATTTGTTAGAGTGCAAATCTTCCAGGAAATATAAAAATTGAAATTATCAATGATTTATGCCTTAGAATGAACATCAGACCTTGTACTGAGAGAAACAAGGAAGGAGAGGTTAGTGGAAGAAAGTAGACAATGAATGTTTCCCCCAGTACTGAAGTGGAGGAGTTCCCTGGGAAGTAGGCAAAGTTCAAAAAAAGAGAACTCAGTAAAAAATCACTTTTTCTGACACAGATTTTCTGAGGGATTTGCTGCTATTTAAGCCTCTGAGTTCTAGAAATCCTGGTTCAGGATAAAAAGAATCCCACCAGTACTATCCTGTTTTTTCTATTTCTGAGGCTACAGAGTGCAAGCACGTGACTTTCTGACTTGGAGGGCCCAGCCCGCCTGGCCCGTGTTCCTGCCCACTTCCTGTCCCTCCTCCCTCGCAGCAGATGCTGCTCTCTCGAGAGCAGTTCTCCGGCTGGGATCTCTAGCTCCCGGATCACAATTTGCTGAAAAACGTAAGCAAACATTGGCCTTGTCTTCCACGCGTTCACACACCTTGCCCTTGGAAGCTTTCCTCTGCCTCCTCCGTCTTCTCCCACGAGGAGCTTACCAGGTGTTGGCCCTAAAGGGAGAGACAGGTTCACAAGAGTGCGTGGCACGGGAGACGGGAAACGCGGCCCTTTCTCTTGCTGTGGGTTGGCCCAGTGGTAAGTCTGAGTGTGTGTGAGTGTGTGTGTGTGTGTGTGTGTGTGTTTACATGTATGTGTGTTTGTGGGAGTGATGTGTGTGTTGTGTATGTATATTTGGGCGTGCGTGTTTGTGATGTGATAGAAAGAGCTACGACCAACAAGTCAGGAGAACTTTGTGCTGTGCAGCAAACTTACTGCTTAATATTTGGCAAGATTCTTCTGTGATTTTTGCTTTCTTTTTGAATAGCACGGCAAGGTTGGTTATATCTGCTCCATCTTCTGAGTTGGAGACAAAAAATACAAAGTGTGATGAATGTGTGACGTGCTGTTCGGGGCGGGGTCTAGGTGGAGACAGCGAGGCGCCTCCATGCAGGCCCGTTTTCTGGGTCATGCAGGGCACAGGTGCTCCCAGGTGCCTCCCACCCCCGGCCTAGTCCCTCCCGGCCATGGTTTTCTGTTAAGCCACCCTTCTTTCTAGGAGGAATGAGATTATGTTGGTGGAGAGCTGCCTCAGTTCCCACCAGGGATGTCAGGAAGCCAGGGACAAAGAGATGGAGAGGGTCTACAGTTCGCAGGCCACCAGTTCACAGATTTAGGAGGCATTGCCCTCCCTTTGAAAGGTGAAATACTGTTTCGTCCCAGAACATGGCTGTCCAGGTCTGAGTGAGGCTGTCCACTGGGCCTGCTTTGTCTCTTCCTAGAAACTCACCAAGCCTTCCTGGGCTGCATCCATCCCCAGCCTGTCATTTTAGAGCTGACCTGTGCTGTATAAAGACATCAGTCATAAAGCAATATCCACAATAGCCTCCTACTGGATAGCTCCTGGGATTCGGAGAGGACTGGAGTGTTTGCCAGGCGAACCGAGTAGAACAAACATCCAACAATAAGACAATAAGACAACGGTGTCTATCGAGGTCCTCCTGGAGTTAGGCTTTCCCACACCCCAGAACCTTCATCTGGATCTGTTTCATCTGGCTATGAATGTTCTACACATTCTGGAAAAACAGTCATGGGGATGCAGGTTCCTCCACAATCCCACAGAGAAAACCAAGCAAATACAACACTATGGGTTCTTGAAGTAGAGAATTACGTTAGTCCATGAAGCGAGGACACATTGCTCTCTCACAGGAAGGGTGACGGGAGTTCCTGGTTGGGAATGATGTGGCCCTTGTTTGCAGAAAGGACCAAGAGTTGCTCCAAAAAAATGTTCTAAAGTGTGTTGGGATCTTGTAGGGGAAGAGACCTTCATGAGCATCTAGTTCAGGCCCAACATCCACACTGATGGCTGAGCTCACCGATGGCTACATCTCCACTGAGCACGGAGGCCTCTGGCTTCCTTCCGGCAATGTTCTGCCCTGCACTGTGAAGGTCCCAGTGGCTGTCATCTTCCTCACAACTGGCCACCCAGCTCAACCCCTTGCAGTCCTCCCTGACAAGCCTTCTCCAGAGTCTGTCCCCAAGGCCCACTGAGCTGTCCCCTCCCACTGACTTCCTGCCCATTCATGCCCTCCAGGCACATGGCCACACAGACCTTCCTGCTCCTGGGACACACAGGATCCAGATCACACCTACTTCTGTGCCTCTGTTCCTCCTCCTCCTCCCAGAACAGCTCCAGACCCTCTGTCTATACGAATTCCATGCACTCCTCAGGTTCTGGACCGGTTGCACCTTTCTCCATTAAACATCTTAAACTCATGATCGAGGCCACAGTGGGGCGGTGGCGAGAATAGGGTCCCTAAAGCCAGCAGAGAGTCTCAGACCCCTGCACCCCTCTCCTCATTCACTCCACCCCCACCCCTATAGTAATGCAAAAAACTTCCCTCTGGCAAGAGAGAGGCAAAAGGCAGGGCCTGTTAAAACTCAGTTGGAAAATCAGTAAAACATATTATTGTTTTCTCCAGATGGAAGAAGAAGAATACGAACAGATTCCCCAGGACAATCCTCCAGGAGAACTGTCCCAGGATCCTACAGGAGAGCTGTCAGGAGGTAATATTACTTCCCTCGCCCAAGGGACACATGAAACAGGTACAGATGGGGCTCATTGGATGTGCAGGTGGGACAGTGCTCTGCCACCTGCTGTGCCTGCAAAGGCAGCTATGTGTCCCAGTCATAGAGATTGAGCCACCTCAGCCACCACTGGAGGGCCTTTGGGGTAGGGCCCTTTTTTACACAAGCCAAAAATGAGGGGAAAGACCCTCCGAGAGGTATGGTGGGCAAAAGGAAGCAAGAAATAGCACCGATTACCAAATCTCCAAGCTAGTCCCAAAGAAAAGGGTCTTCACATGGTGGACTTCCCTCCTGAGGAAAGCAACTGGCCTTGGACTGAGGCTTGGATGCCAGCAGATCTTGAGCGGGGGGTCAGCTGGCTCAGAAAGGTTGAAAACACCTCGAGGACAAGCAGAACATCCTCAGCTGCTGCCTCGGAACTGGGATCAGCCTTCCCAAGGGCTTCCTCCCGCAAGAGCTATTGCTGCACAGGGTCAGGCGCTTGACTTTTCATAGGCCAACTTCGTCATTTAACCTGGGGAGGCAAAATTTAGGAATTTAGGAATGCTGGAAACCCACCCATTTCCTGGCCAGAAGAAATGATTTGTGATTCCTTATGTATTTTAACATGAATGATTTTTGACTTTATGAACTTAAATGGTTAACCTACCACCTAGGAAATTACCAATATGTGTGTTAACGCCTGTCTCACCTTTTCTTACAGCAATCAAGGTCAGATATTACTTTAAAAATCCTCTCCAGAGCTCAAGTGATATATTTGGCTTTAGTTAAAGTCTTTGGTGTGTGCTGGCTCCAGGCTGCTCAGATGGGAGTTACTGTCTTCCCCCACCTTTGCGTTGCCCAGGTGGACAGGGATGAATATCCACCATCCATAGTTCCTTGACAGTCCCATTCCCTTTCGGTTCCCTGGGGGAAGCTGGAGGGAGCCAAGGTCATTCAGTCAGGACTGGGCTGTGGACCAGCCAGCCTCAGGCAGCAAAACCTATCCGTGCTAAGGAGACTCAGGAGAAGAAGGTCCCATGCTGCCTTTGGAGGCTTAGTGCCCTGTCATCTGAGACCCATCAATGTATTCAATGGGGACCAGACTTGGAAACCAACTATTATTCGTCATTTCTTTATGTACTCCGGGTCTTGGGACCCGCAAGGCCAGGAGAGAATGCCCTTCCTGCCTTCTGCCCCAGTCACACCTAAAAATCTTGATATTAGGTTTCTCAGTGTTTGGTTGGCTTCTCCGTCTCCTCTCTCAGCGGATGGTGGGTGAGAATGTTCAGCCCCGCCTTCAAGGACCAACCCGCCTAGGTTCTTCAAGGCTGAGACCTGAGCCCAGGGCAGGTTTCTTGGCCGACATTGGCCTTCCTATCTCCTACCCCAACGCAGGACAGCCTGCCCCTGAGGTACCGGAGCTCCCAGGGACACCTGATGAGGATAAATGGACCGGGTGGGTGCTAACCCAGTTCCCTCTGCTTTCTTCTGATGCTTCTAGGCGAGAGGGAGAAACAACAGTCCCCAAGGAGACTGCGGCTCCTGCTGGTGGGGAAAACCGGAAGTGGGAAAAGCGCCACAGGAAACAGCATCCTTGGCCGGGAGGTGTTTGAGTCCAAGCCCAGCGCCAGACCCGTGACCAGGTCCGCCCAGACAGGGAGTCGGGAGTGGGATGGGACGGAACTTGAGGTGATCGACACGCCCGACATCCTGTGTCCGCGGGGACAGCCGGGCGCGGCCGCCGTGTGCCAGGTTCTCGCCGCCTGCGCCCCGGGGCCGCACGCCGTGCTGCTGGTGACCGAGCTGGGCCGCTTCACGGAGGAGGACCTGCGCGCCGTGACGCGCCTGCGGGAGATCCTCGGGGAGGACGTCCTGGCTCACACCGTCCTGGTGTTCACCCGAAAGGAGGACCTGGACGGCGGCTCCCTGGACAGGTACCTGCAGGAGACCGACCACGAGGGCCTGGCCCAGCTGGACTTGGAGTGCTTGTGGCGCCACTGCGGCTTCAGCAACCGGGCCACGGCCGCGGAGCGGGAGGCCCAGCTGCAGGAGCTCATGCGCAAGGTCGAGGAGATCGTGTGGGAGAATGAGGGCTGCTGCTACCGCAGCGCGGCTTAGCAACGCGCCCGGCAACGCCCTCTGCTCAAAGAAGTGCAGCAGAGACAGCCAGCCCAGGGCCAAGGCGAGTCCCGGCTGGAAGGAAGGGCTGTGCCGGATTCAGAGGAATCAGAAAATTCACCAGCGCCTGCTAGGGAGGGTTGACCCTTTGAGCCTGTGCTGGACTTGAGCCGGGGACTCCCTCAGCCCCTGCACCCCTGTGCCCGACCCCTGTTGCTCTCTCTATTCCTTGGAGCGCTGCGCAGTCTCCAGGCCATAGCGTCTGGCGTGGTGAGAGAGGAAGGGGGCTGGAGGATGGGGTCCAGAGTGCCCAGCTCACATCCCAGGTCCTTCATTCCTTCTTCCAGAACATTTGGGGCCTCCCCGCTCTGTGCTCCAGAAGCATACTGCCCGCATATGGGGCCTTCCATCTCATGGTATTGCATTTCTTGGGGGTACTTGTCTGTGCCATGATAGAACGCAAGCTTCTTGAGGGCAGGCCTGTGTCTTTTTCTTCCTTGTGACTCCCACAACTTCCTGGCCAAGGTTGACCCAGCAACTCGGTGTGAGCCATTGACCAGGTGACTTTGCAGCTCTTGCCCTTGCCTGCGAAGGGAGCAGGCACAGTGACTGTTAAGGCGCCTTCTGTGTCCTTTGGGTAGAGTTGGCGGTGCCTCTGAGACGTGGGGAGGAAGGGATCCTGGGCTGGGGAGGAGAGGGAGCAGGAACAGGGAAGGGGCAGGAGGAGCAGCCCTTTTATTCACTCTTCAACAGTCACAAGCAAGTCCCCTGGGAGCTTCCTAATGGCAAAGATGAGTAAAGTCAGGGGCAGGGTATTCAGCAAGGCAGGCCCTGGTCAAGAAGGTGGACCCCAGCCCTGGCTACAGGACATGGAGGCCCCTAGAGGTGCCAGGTGGCTTACATTGAGGAGGGCGTACATCTGGTACTTCCCCTTCTCCCTGAGCTGCAGGGCCCTGTCGCCATGTCTGCCTTCTGGTGTCAGAGGCGAAGCTACTCTCAACCTGCCTCCTCTTGCCTGCAGCCCCACCCTCTCCCTTGGCAGTGGGGAGAGTGTGGGTGGGGTGAGTGTCTGAGTGGGCCAGTGGGGTCCCTGGCAAGTATTTGTGGGGGCTGAATGGGAGGAGACAGGGATGAAAGGTGCAAAGAAAGCAGTTGAATGACTTAAACATCTTGTGGGGCAGCTTGCATGGTTTATGGGAGAACTCTGCAGCCCATGGGTGTCTTCCTGGAAGGCTGTTCCTACAGACAGGGCCCATAAAAGCAATACTGTACAGAATGGAAAGGGAACAGGATGTTAGCCTGGCTCTGGCCTCAGATAGGAAGCTGTCTGCCTGTGTGAGGAAGCTGATGCACCTCAGATGCACCTCAGCCTCTTTGAGGTTCAAGATGTTCCTGGGAAGTTTGATTAATGGATGGGAGGAGGATAGGAGGAAGTGGGAAAATGCCTCCTAATATAGCCGTCTTCAAGCTGAGTGGCAGAGGATCTCTGTGTAGATACCTTCTCCTGGGAGGGATGGGAAGTGGAGGTGGTGGTGACCGTGCTGGGGGACGGTCAGAAATCAAGAGGACGCAGCGTCAGATCTGTCTGGATGCTCATCTGCTGTCTGACATCCTGCGGCCTCCCGCTCTGAAGCCCACCACCCGTCTTCCCCAGACGCAGCAGACGCCTGAGAAAGCTTAAGTATTTCTTTTGCTGAAAGATTCAGAAAAGTGTCTCAAAGCAGAACAGAGACATATTTTGGTGTATGCTAAGATAGCCTTTGTACCACAACCATTTATTAAATAAGTGATTGATTGCTCACTGAACTGAAAATGCAACATTTATCATGTATTCAATTCTCATACTCCCTAAGATTTATGTCAGAATGTTCATTTTAGTTTGTGTCTTCTACTTTTCCACTCCTATGTGAATAAAATATTGATTTGATTACAGTGGCTCTGATTATAATGTGGTGAGCCAATTTCTCTTGGTCTATAATTTTGTATTTTGTTATTCTCAGGCATTTATTCTTCTATGTGAAAGTTAAAATTGCTTGTCTCATTTCCCAAAAAGAACCCTATTGATATTCTAGCTGGAATTGTTTTACATTTATATATTAAGTTTGAGGGAATTGGTAAATACTTCAAGTATAAGTTAATCAAGGCCATTTTGTTTCTAAGTGAATAGACTCAAAACCCCAGAGATATTGAAGTAAAAGCTAAAAATCATTTGCATTTCTGTTGGCATAGGAGATACATTTTTAAAACTTAGATGTTATTATTTTAATTATATTAGCTTAATTAATTTTGTAACAGAAAATACAAGCTTTGGACCAAATGAGATCTACCCAGTAACTAAATGGCAAGTAACTCAAAATATGTCATTCTCATACTCCCTAACATGTCATTCGTTAAAAATAGTTTTTAATTACCTCAAATATGATATTTTCTCACTTTTATGACTAAACAGCAGGGAAGATGCCTCTCAACATCTTAGGCAGAAGGATAGATGTTGCTGCATAGCTATCACTTCCTCAGCCTCAGAGAAGAATGGGGAAGGCGTGTGTGGGAATGTTCTAGAAACTCTGCAGTCTATGTACTAGTAAAAAAGAAGTGGTGGGGTGGTGGTGACCACAGAGGACTGTCTTGGCCAAGGCTGTGATAATAGCAACCTTTAGAATTTGTTATTTTCTAGAAATATCCCTACACTGGGGTGAAGGATGAAAAACAGGAACTTGAAGCTCCTTTGAATCAGTAGAGTTTTTTCCTCCTTGATGGGTCAAAGCAGCTGTGAAGGAAGGTTTCCAGCCCCCAACCTTTCTGTGATAACATTTATAAATTATACAGAAAATGCAGAATAGTTAAGAGTAAAACAATAGCCAGACACAGTGGCTCATGCCTGTAATCCGAGCACTTGAGGAGACTCAGGCCAGAGGATCACTTAAAGCCAGGAGTTCAAGACCAGCCTGGGTAACATACTGAGAACCCATCTCTAAAACAACAACAACTATAATAATAATAACTTTGAGGGCAGTGGGAAGTGACCAAATGTGGTAAACACTTACAGAGAACTTGACCCCTAAGATGAGGGGACCACACTAGTCCCACTCTGACGCAGCTTTTCCCCTGAGGGCACTACCCAGTCATGCCGATGAACGGATAGCACCAGCCAGAGATTTAGAGGGGCCTGACTAGTGAGAGGATGGAGTCTGGGGCAGCCAGAGCAGGTAGAGATTGATGAGGGACTCCTCAAAAGAAAAGAGCCACAGACTGGGGTTGGCGGGCACTAAAAACTCTGCATCTGAACTGCTTTTAAATCCGTGGCTGACCCTGAACTCTGCAGTGCAGAGCAGTCCGGGGGAAAATGCATCTGGAGGCTGACAGAGTTTATCAGAGACAGCAGCAGGTGTCCACAGCAGCAAAGAGAATTTCATGTTCCAGTGCACCAAGTTAGAGGGCTTTGGTAGACTTGGAGATTTCCACTGAAATGCCAAAAGGGTCATACTTTAGGAGTGAGAACTGCATTTCAGAACTGAAAGATTTGCCCTAGAAGGAAGAGCAAAGTTAAAGCAGACCCTTGCTAATGACATCTAAAATCAAGCCTTCCTAGGGCAAAAGCCATCTGCCAGTAATTTAAGTGCCTGCTGGCACAAACTCAGTATTCTGCAGAAGATAATACCATCCGGGGCCTCCACGACATAGTATCTACAGCATCCTGTACACTATTTAAAACTTCTTCCTTTCCAATAGAAGAATATAAAGCTATAAAATTTCCCCTAGGCATATTTATCTGTGTCTCACAAATTTTCATATATTCTGTTTTCACTCTCATTCAGTTTCAAATACTTTCTGTATCCCTGCCACGTCTTTATTCCCTTATGGATTATTTAGAAGTGCATGTTTAAAGTCCACTCATTTGAGTATTTTCTAGAAACTACAATATCCAAAAAGGCAGCCATTATCCACATGTTGCTATTGAGCACTTGATATATAGGAGTGTATCCAAGAAACAGAATTTTTAATTTTATTTAGTTATAATTAGTTTTAATTTAAATTTAACAACTGATATAGTGTAAAATATTTTACCATGAAACGCAACTTTACTGTTTTGGTGGAAACACACTTTACTACAACTGTTGCTTCATTAAAGATTTTACAGATGGTCCCCGACTTCTGATGGTTTGACTTAATGGTTTTTGGTTCGACTTGCAGTTTTTGACTTCACAATGGTGTAAGAGGGATGCCTTCAGTAGACGGCAGTACAGCAAGCTGCAGCTGCCCAGTCAGCCATGCGATCACTAGGGTAAACAACCGGTGCTCTACAGTGTACTGTTACTAGGCTGTGCTGTTCAGTAGGTTAGGTGTGGTCAGTGCATTTTCAACTTACAATATTTCACCTTATGATGGCTTTATCAGGATGGAGACCCATTATAAGTTGAGGAGCATCCGTATTGCTGCATTGCAGTGAGAATGTACATGGATTGTTTCTAGCATTGCATAGAAACATCACTGGTCTAGTCAATGTCAGTGCACTGATTTAGTTTGAATAATCTTTTCTCACCAGTGACGTAATATTTTTATTTAAACATTTTACGTTGGCCGGACATGGTGGCTCATGCCTGTAATCCTAGCACTCTGGGAGGCGAGGCAGGAGGATTGCTTGAGCTCAAGAGTTCGAGACCAGCCTGAGAAAGAGTGAGACCCTGTCACTACTTAAAAAAATAAATAAATAAGAAATAAATAAATAAATATTTTATGTAGGCAGCATGAGTTACAGTTACATTTATCTACATTGCAAATGTATTTAAAGTAAATTTAAATATTGATTATTATTGTTTTTATGATACAATTAAATTAATTTTTAATTTAAAGATAAGTACAGACAAATTTTTAATTTTAATATGAAGCCATAATACTGATACAGAATTGAATGGAGATGATTAAGCTAGTAGTAGCACAACCGGAACAGGAAAGAGAAATATAAACTGGCAGAAGATATGTTACAAATGTCGTAATTAGCATGATAGCAATTGCAATATACTACAGTGCAGCAAAACCAAAAAAAGCTGTTTGTTGTGTAAAAAAAATGGGAAGATAATGAAGCATACTATATTAAGAGACATTGTCAGAAGATACATAGGTAGCTTGATAAAAAGCTTTCTTTCAACAATTAAAAACAATTGGCAAAATTAGTCCCCTGGTGCCAAAATTTAATGTCCAAAAAAAAATTCTAAACAATTTTTAGAAGGATCTCAGTTTGTGACTTGGCCAGCTATAAAACAGCTTGAATTCTTGTACAAATAAGAAAACCATGTTTAGTTTGAGAGAAGGTAAAATATTTAATAAATTATTACTTTGGTTATGGAAAGTTTTATTGAAAATTGTAAGGAAAAGACTAAAAAAATACATGAAACATGAAGGATCTTCCAGTAAGGTACATACACAAAAAATTGCCCATAGAGGTGAGACCTTTTTAATAGTGTCAAAGATTAATTGATTTAAAACGGAAAAATTTGAAAGTATTTTTCTTTAGCACTAAATGAGAAGTGCGATACGAGATACTTTGGGAATGTTTTGTGTTAAAGTATTTCCAAATTTATGAGAACGTCGGGAATTCAGGCCAACATATGAATTAGTGGTAAAGATGTTTTAAAATCTTTTACACTTGTCAAATGAGAATTTCAGCTAAATTTTTGATGTACATCCCTTGTGATATAAACAGTCTCACTCTCATATTTCATGATCCAGGATTACTGGACCATGCCCTGTTTCACTTCTGGAACCTGCCATTATTTTGCTTGGATTGTTTCCCAAGAGTATTTCAACTTTCTCTGCTTATACAGAGGATTCCAGTAGGAAAACTGAAGCCTACTTAGGTATTAAAAGTAGAATGTACTTCAATCCAGGGAATTAGAGGCTGGTGCACCACTTGGGGGGCTGGGAATGCAAAGGTCTGGGAAGCTCACTGGTGCACGGAGCTGGTGGTTTTAGGCACTCATCTGCTGTGACATGCAGCTTGTCTCTCTGCTGTTACTGCCAGAGAAAGGTCTCCCTTCTTTTTCATCCCCCGTCTGAATCTCAGGTGAATACTTCTTGTTGAATGACTCTCACCTGGTCCATTTGGGGAAAGGGCTGATGTCATTCCAGGCTCCTTCTCTATAATTCAGAGAACTTAGGAGAATCGGTGATGATGGATTTACAATGCACAGTCTGGCACAGCTAAAGAATTCAACATTAAACATTCACCTTGTTAAAGCAAAATTAAAATGGAAACCGGGCTTGAATAATTCCTAAGCAAACAAAACCAACTGGGCATTAAAAATAGCTTTAACCTTGCTTAAACTGCAAATATAAGCAAAAGTTGAATTATTTCTGGTAAATTAACTGGGGTCATTTCTGTTTTTGTTACAAAACTTAATGTCAGCCAGTCATAACTAAATAGACATAAATCCAATTATTATCTTAAAATGCTGTATGGCACAAAGCAAATTTCCTTCCTGAAAACTTTTGAAGGTGGCTATGATACAAAATTGCAAGACATTTATTTTTTAAAAACCCTGACAATATAGGTTTCTCATAAGAATGGGTAAAAATTCCTAAAACTCTAATGGAACACTGATGGATTTATAAAAATGCTAATCAAATAGCAAACAAAGCAAAAATTAGTGACATGGAACTGAATTAACTGAGGATAATAATAATTATAATGTTTGAAACATTGCTGCTATAATATCCTCTTTTTCAGATTTAAGGAACACCTTTTATCTTTTTAAGAAAGATATCTAAAACTAACAGCAATTTGATAAGATATACTTTTGTAAACAAAAAATGGAACATTTATCTTTTTCTTCTACCCGATTACTCCAGAATTTTGAAACTCTTATTGAATATTCTTATTG